GGTGGTTTTAGAAATATATGAAAATCTAGAAAACTGATTTAACAGCTTCTTATTTTCCCTTTGGGCTTACAGGCAAGCAGAATTTTAAAAATTATGCATAATCTCTGAATGTCAAAGGGTTAACCCACCCCTCATTAAGTTCTGTTGTCTGGTGTCCTGATTTTTTTCTGGATTCTTCTAGATTGGTGTAACACTGGGGAAGGTACTTGGAAACACTGAACAAGTGGGTGGTCCCTGGGACCCTCTATTTACATAGTAACTGATAACATTTAAATTAGGAGAAACAAAAACTTTCAGAAATTGAGTTCATTTTTTTAAATACTGAAATATTTTAGCTCATATTAATCCTTAATGTCATTTAGAACAAAATGTCAAGATGAATTACTTTTTCCTCCTATCACACAGGACTCTAAGGACTGGAATGTTCTGAAGAGAGGGTTGTTATCTAGACAACAAGAAGGGAATCCCCTGAGTATCTGAAACTCACTCACCTGGTTTGTTCTTAGGAGATGATTTCTGCTTTGATCTCACTATTTAATGTCTAATAAACAGCCAACCAGTGATGTGAAAATCAAAGAATGCTGATCCATTATTAAGAACTCCAGTGCTAAATTTGGCAATAGAGGCTAAAGAGTTCTTTTTGCTCTCTCTTCTCTGTCTCTGTCTGTCTCTGATCTGTCTCTCTGTCTCTCTGTCTCTCTGTCTGTCTCTCTCTCTCTCCCCCCCATCCCCCGCCCCGTTTATATGGAGGTGCTCTCTCTCTCTCTCTCTCTCTCACACACACACACACACACACACACACTTATGTAGGGAGAGAAGACCAGGATCACTAAGGTAGGTAAGCTTTGTGAGTTGATCTCAAGGAAACAGCTAGACTAATGATTCTACATTACACTATGACTGTGCTATTCAGAATCAAAACACAGCCCATAATATGCCAAGTAAACCTCTACAAAATTTGAGGAAATATTTGAAAATTAAAATGATGTAACTGTTTTCCTATTAAAAACCCCGACTCCTCTCTTTTCACTAAGGTAGGTAAGCTTTGTGAGTTGATCTCAAGGAAACAGCTAGACTAATGATTCTACATTACACTATGACTGTGCTATTCAGAATCAAAACACAGCCCATAATATGCCAAGTAAACCTCTACAAAATTTGAGGAAATATTTGAAAATTAAAATGATGTAACTGTTTTCCTATTAAAAACCCCGACTCCTCTCTTTAAACTAGAACTAAATTTTATAAGTAGTCATCTTTAAACCAATGTTATATACAGAAGTACTTGATTTTAGCATTAGCACAATGGCAATAATTTGTATATTGCCCCCAACCCTTTGTAATTTAAGAACTGTATATGTCATCTTGAATTAGTATTAAAATTGAGAAGGTGATAGAATGCCTGTTTATAAAAGAAAACTTAGTGAATCTTCCCTCACCTTACCTGGGGAACAAAGGAAGTGATTTTCTGTTGTTAAATAAGAATAGTTAGAATATTTTTAAATGTGATATGTATTTGTGACTGGGGAGCAATTATGAATGTGCATCTTCAATGAGACACTCCTAGATTAATTCTCCTGCCTTTTAGTAAGTCACAAAGGCCAGTTTTTCTTCATTTTGATTATACAACATTAACATCTTATAAACCTGTCGCCCAGTCATATACATCAAGTTGGAGGTTGTAAAAACTGCAGAAGAGAACTTCTTATAAAAAAAGCACATAGCAGAATTTAGCATATCAGTCTATTGTGGGCACAGACAGTGGCTGATATCTCTCCACCTGGCGGAGCTGGGCTCCTCGCTGGCAACTGGAAAAAGGGGGCCTAGCACGGAGGCTGAGGATCCAATCTGAACGCAGAAAGCTAATTTGGTGTATTCAAGCCAACACCTTTTTTTTTTTTCTTAGCAATTTGGTATATTCAAACCAACACCTTGTTTGTTCCTTACCCCTTCAATTATTCCCTGTAATTATTTCGATTCGCTTTTGGGGTTGCCTCTGTAGCTTTTCCCAAGACATAAATATGTCCCAGGAAGGACACATTAAAATGAGATGTTGGGTTATATGTGCTGAGAAAGGATCTGCAGGATTTTCATACCACCACATAAGGATCTTGCTAACATGAAAAACAGCTGCATGAGCTCGGTATTCAAGTGCCTTATTCTTATCATCTTGGTAAGTGATGGCATAGTTCATGTCTATTTGATACAGGATCCTCCTAGAAATGAAATGTCTGTGATGTAAATTCATACGATCGATACTTCACTATCTACTGCCAACAAAAATCCAACATGAGCTAAATTAATCTAATTATAAGACTGGGGCAGGCACTGAAAAAAAAATGAACTTTTATTAGAACCTGATATACAAAACACGTTAAAAGAAACAGAATTTAGAAGCAAAGAGAAACATAAGTCTTGCTACACAAGCATCTTGCTCATGTTCTTTTCTTTTGTTCTTTCTTTTGCCTTCAACAGTCCTTTAACATGTGTTTATAACACAGCACAAAGTACAGTTCTCATATTTACTGTGACATGCAGGAGTGAGCAATATAAGAAAGCAAATCCCATGAAAACACAGCCCATTTGGAGTCATACATTTCCTAAAATGTAAAGATTCTTTGTCTTAGGGAAGGGGTGGATGTCTTAAAAATGCATGATCACGAACTTAAAATATGTTCAAAACTTCGTAGGCCATATGATGCATTTATATGGAAGCCAGTTCCTTCTGTGATTAAGAGATTCACAGATTTCTCAAGTCACAACCACCATGTGGAACCAGTTAGAATGATGCCAGTACTTACCCTGAAGAAGTAGCTTTCTGTATGGATGGCACTTTTACACTGCTCTCCCCATCTCATTCTTGCCTAACCTTGTCACCGACCAGATTTAAATTAAATTGACTGATACACAAAGAGTTAATTTGCAGTTCCCAGCCCTGTGGACTCCAAACTGTGTCCTCATCCTCAAGACCTTGCCATCATATCCACGTCTGGCTATGCTGAATATTGCGCCTTCTGTAGCTGACTCATTCTATGCCCTGTTCATGTAGCTTATCATTATCTCGTCTAAAGACAAGATGCACATTGAATTCAGATGAGACTGCCCTCAACTTGAGAAGCGGAGAAGGGCACCGGTACTGCTGCGCAAATGGCAAAAGCATCAGGGAAATATTACAGCTAATGTGGGTGCTCCCCCAGAAAAATACCACATTGGAAAGCCAAATGAGCAAAACCAAAAATTGCAGTGTCTTCTTGCAAAGTATCATTGTCCTTAGTCATTTTTTGCTTTCTATTTGCAAAATCCAGGTTGATTTTCTGAAGTTCTAAGAGCTCCATTAATAAATAATTATAGGACTTAGTTCCCCATTTCATGCAAACTGTTCACATTCTCTTTTGCTTATTAATTTTGAAACTATTTAAGTGTTTTGCCTAATGAGCTTCACTCTGAAAAAAAAAAAAAGCAACCTGATTAGAACATGCGGTTAATGGGAAAACAAGCAATAGACCTTTCTGATTGAACAGTCCCACCTCCTATCTCAAGACAGGAGTTCTGTTCAGATGACAGCACTGCGGTCAGATGGCTTCCTGTCACTTACATGCTGTAATGTGAGGATCTTTTACCCGAAATGATAACATTCCAAAGCTTATCAGTACTGCCTCTGAGGATCGCATTTTTAAATATGTAGTCGTTAGAAAGCTAATCGGTGGTGTTCACATCAAAGCTCAAGAGAGAGAAAACAACCCAAATACTCTATCAAGTTCACTCAAAACTTCTTGCTACACTTAGCTGTCAAAAATCCCAGAGCAAGATTCCAAGTTCATAACAGAAAATTAAACAATTCCCAAAGTAAAACTTGAGGCGGGTTAAAATTGTGTCTGAAAACCATGATAGCTATTTCTATCCCAGAATGTCTTATTAGCTCCAATCCATCTGCTAGAGCAGAACAATGATTCAGGAATTTGAAATTCTTTCTGCACGCATTACCCAAGATTCTCACAGTCTGCATTAAAAATAGTAGACATTCAGGAAACTCCCTGGTTAGCAACTCCTTCAAGTTTTAAGGAACTCGAATTATTGAGTCTTCTTTCTAAGAACTAGTGAAAAGGTTAAAGAAACACCCATCCAACTATTCACAGAAAATACTCTCATCAAAATCAATTGATTCCCATTCATAAAATATAAGAGCCTGACTCAAATGACCACCCCAGCAGTCTATCTGTCTTTACCTTTCCAAATACCCTCTGCAGTTTCCATAACCGCGCAGGGCTCTGTCTTTCCTTATGCTTCCTTCGCTGTGGACTGAGGTGCTAGCTCCTTCATTAAATAGCATTAAAAATAGACTGTAAAAAACTCCCCAGTGGAGCATGCTCTAACAGGGCGACTGCTACAGTTCTCAGCTGGGATCTGAGGGAGAGTCACTGGGCGATTAGCAATTTGCAAATCACACACACACACACACACACACACACACACACACACACACACATGCCTGCGTGCACACCACAAATCTGTCTGGGCCTAAACTGAATATCATAAAAAAAAAAAAAAAAAGAAATTACCATGTAGTAAAAATTAAGTCACTGAGAAGATGAAAGTCATTTTCTGGAGCTGTGCAACTTACTCGTATACATCTCACCCAAACAAAATACATTGTTAAACATTTGTAAGCATAATAGTTACTATATCATTCAAATGGCATAAATCATATCCAGACAGGATCAATTAAGACATGTACTCACAGTAGCCCCAATCAGTGTCTTTAAAATTACATTGAAACTAAATTATAATAGTACTGATAAGCTAAGGTAGTGAGATATAATCTTTGCCAGTCTCTTGCGATGAACAATCTGCATCACCCCCCCCCTTAAAAAATATATAAAAATAAACACCTAAACTCATTAACCAGAAATCTTAAAAATATTCTGGTAGTCGAAATGATTAAAAAGTAAAAGAAGATTACTGCGAAGGCTATTCAGAACCAAACATAAACAATTACATACCTTGAAGAGCTACACAAACAGGAAAAAGAGCGCTTAGGGTCTCTCACAGGCAGCCCCTCAGTAAGCATGCAGCAGAAGCAAGCGCTGCTGAAGACAGCAGATCACTCTGCAACTGAACAGAACACAGCCAGAGCTCTAGGCTTCCAAGAGACTGTTTTTTCATGAAAATGACATTAGCTAAAATCTCCTTAAAACATCCAAGTCCTGTGGTAACACAAATACTGGGAAGAAAGAAGGTGTATTTATGTTCAAGTGTATATCAAAGGCTTTCTGACTTTTGCCAAATATATAAATAAAAAAAAAAGAATTCCTGTCATGTCTACTTCTCTGCTTCCTTAAAGCAGTAACAGCAGCTTTGATCTCCAAAGCAGATGAGGAAGGGGTGCCAACCATTTATTCTGCATCAGAGGAAAAAAAAAAATAGGACAGATTCATTTCAGTTTTGGAGACTGTGATTCTTGTCTGGAAAAGCTGAACTGTCATACAAAAAAAATACCTTGAAAATTAGACAGAAAAATGACTGTCTACACCCTATAAACACACTGGGGAAAGTCATCTCTAGCAGCTTCTCCTCACACATCCCATCTTCCCATTCCTGTAACTTTCAATTTCCTCTTTGTTTTCCCCTTTAAACTTATACACGGATCTGGCTCTGTATCTTCAGAAAGGTGAACAAGCTTTGAACTTAGCACAGGTAATGCATAAACACTAAGTAAGACTATTTCTCTTCCCAAGAAACTTTTTAAACACCTGCCTGGATCAAACCCAACCCTACTACCAAATCCACCACCTGAGACATACAACCTTAAGCTGAAGGTGGCTGTGAACTTAATTACAGTTTAAAAAAAAAAAAAAAAAAAAAAAAAACCAGAAATCTTTTTATTGCGCCCCCCCCCCAACTCTTGGGACCCAAGACCTCTGTGCAGACCAGAAGTCAAAGTGGCAACTTCTGACTTTTCTATGTCTCTCCTTCAAATGAACTAGGAGCATTTCCAAGCAGGAAAAAAAACACAAATATAAGGCAGAAAGAAAGAAGGGGCAAAGACAGAAAGACGCCACCACCACCCCACACATGCTAAAACACAAAGGGCGTGCAACGTTCACGTCCGACGATTTGGCTCTTTACCTTAAGGGAACAGTCAGTGGTGATGCCCCCAGCGTCCTGGTGCCTTGACTGATTTGATTTCGTTTGGGATTTTGTTAATAACTACTGCTTCTCAACGAATGCTTTTGTTGGGTTAGTTTGGCTTGTGGCTTGCCTTTGTTGTTGTTTGGTTTATTTGCTAGCCACTGGAGCGTTCTGCGTAGAGGCTGGAGTCCGCGCGCAGCCCGGGCACAGCGTGGTGGGGACGTTGTGGCTGCAGCGGCGGATTGTCGCGGCTCCGGACGCACTGAGGCGGCTGCAGCTGGAGAGCCCGCGCGCCCCCCTCCCCGCTGCCGCACTAGTGTCTGTGTGCCTGTCTGTCCGCGCCCAGCTTGGGGTCCCGGCTTTGCTGCGCTCTTCTGCCAGAGGCTGCCACTGTCTTTGCCTCAGTCCTTGCGCTGATCTGTCCACCCCTCCGCGCCTCGCCGTCCCAGGAGCAAAGCTAGGACCCAGATCTCGTCGTCGGAGCCCGCAATGTCTCCACTACTCTGTGCTCCGACCACTTTTCCCGGGTCGGGTCAGAGGAAGGCAACCGCAGGGAGGAGTAGCGGGAATCTGGCTGTCCCCATCCCTCCTACCGCACTCCCCTCTGCCCACCAAGTGCTCCCTTTGCCTCTTTTTACTCTCTCTCTCTCTCTCTCTCTCTCTCTCTCTCTCTCTCTCTCTCTGTCTCTCTCGCTCGCTCGCTCGCTCCCTCGCTCGCTGGTTATGTGACTGCGTCCACCTGCGGGTGGCTCTTGCAGTCCCGCCGGAGTCAGCAGTCTCGATGGGTCCCCCTGACCGCCCCTCCCGGCCGTGCCTTCCCACGCGGCTGGCGCGGCTCCCGGGCGGCGCCCAGCTCCTCCCCTCCTGCCTTGGACGAGTCGGGTCCCCGCCCGTCCCCCTGCACCGCTAGCGCTGCACGTGGCCGCGCTATGGCAGGTGCCCCGGGCCCGGTTCCCGACCCCCGGCTCCTGGAGTTGGTCCTGCAGGGAAGCCGAGCGATGCCCAGCCACCTTGCCGCTGGGCGAGGCCAAGGCTGAGCACAGCCCGCACCTGTTTTGGTGCGCCAGGCGCTCCCATCCCGGTCGCACTCCGCCACCCCAAGGCTGGAGACAAAGCGCATGAACCACGCGCAGCAGCGCGAGCATCATTAATCAGAGGAAACTGGCGCGCTGCCCCGGCCCCGCCACCCCGCCTCTCCTTCCCAGCCAGCGGGCGCGCCCCAGAGCCCAGTCTTCGCCTACCTCTTCCCGGGTACCACCTCCAGTCCTGGGGATGCTTGGCAGTCTCTGTTGCGCCGAGTCCCCCGCGCTCACTCTCAGAGCCAAGTGCAAAGACAAGCTTTGGGCAGCCACACTTCACCCCACCCCTCGCGAATCCCAGCCTCAAGCTCTGCGATGCGCAGGCTTTGGAGCAGAGGGAGACCAGAAGTCCAGCCGCATAGTGGACTTATGCTTCCTATCTCAAGACAGTCCTCCTGGCGCAACTGCCCAAATCGCGGCTGGGGTGCTGATGGGCTGATACGCTGAGAAACAGCCAGTACTGCAGCACCATAGGGGTAGGGCTGGGGCAGGGAGCAGAGTTGACACCTGAAGAAATAAAAATAAATGTCTCCATTTGTTTTGGAGACATGTGCTGTTTTTATTATCAGTAATTCATTTTTTTCCATTGTGGGTGGGCATACTACCAAAAGGAGAATACACACACACACACACACACACACACACACACACACACACACGTGTGAGGAGAGTGAATGCATTTCCGGAATACCGCCCACTCCCTTCTGAGAGACCATAGCTCCTACTTTTCAGACACTATAGGTCACAGCCAAGACAGGCCATTCCAGGTTTCTGTCCCCCACGGAAAGCAAGGCATTTGCTTCTGGGCTTCTCTGCTAGGTGGCTATTAATGGGTAGCAAAATTATAGTTGTGCATTCTGGGTGGATTTGCCAGGCTCGTTTTGACCATATCTAGCAACTGAGATTTTCAGAGGCAGACACTGAGTTAACTATGGATCTGGTGAGACTTAGCTCCATCCCACAAAACAGTAAAGAGAAGAAAAAGAAATCAACTCTCCCCAGCAGCAATTAGTAACCCCACGAACAGACAACAAATAATTAACTAGCATAAAGCATGCCCTGAAAATTTCTACATCTTTTGAGTTTCATTTAGTGATACCCACTCCTAATGGCAGGCTTTTAAAAACAGGCTTAAAAAGACTTCTGACTTACACTGTGTTCTGGAAATGTGATTTGCACAGATAGACGTATGACCATGTTCTTAGGTACTAAGATATTGATTATAAATCATCAGTTATAAGTGTCTTTCTAGAATGTGCTGTGTAACAGGAGGAGGTTGGCCTGCCCCTTGATGAACAGAGAATTATTCTGCACCTTTTAGAAATCTCCTTTGGGTTTGGCTTCTGTTGGTAGGGGGGATCCACTATGCAAAGTTTCAATGGAACCAAGTCTAAAGCATTCGGGACTATCACTTCCGTCTGTAGCTCAGTCAGCACTGCTCACTCCTCTCCAAAAGCCCTTTGGTGAGTATTTTCCAGTCATTTGGATTTTAACAGAATAAAATTAAATAAAATGTTTCTAATCACGTCCCTTCTCTTCATCTTCAGTCTTGTTCGAGAAACAAAATGTTAGATTTCTTCTTGGGAAATTGTGTCAAATTGTGCTGTGTCATAAATTCAACACAGGTAAAAATCACAAGGAAAGAAGGATGGTCAGTGTGAGCCTCTCTTCTAAATAGGATCGTACCTTAACATTTTCTGAATAGGAAATGCTTCCTTCAAGCATAAAGCTTTTCCATAACAAATTAGGTTTCACTCTGGGAAACACAACACACACACACACACACACACACACACACACACACACACACACCCCTCAATTTTGTAAACCAGAGTGAAAATTACAGTCATTGAAATGGGGAGGGCAACTCATTGAAAATTCCTAGGATAAACTCCAATGAATGGCTAGAAGAAAAACAGTTTCCATATCTTAACAACACATGGACAAATTGGATGATGGGAGGTATTGCAGTGTCTCATGGCCTTTAAAGCTTTATTTGAACATAAGTATCACACAGAAATATAAAAACCAGAGTGAAAATTACAGTCATTGAAATGGGGAGGGCAACTCATTGAAAATTCCTAGGATAAACTCCAATGAATGGCTAGAAGAAAAACAGTTTCCATATCTTAACAACACATGGACAAATTGGATGATGGGAGGTATTGCAGTGTCTCATGGCCTTTAAAGCTTTATTTGAACATAAGTATCACACAGAAATATAACATTGCATTTCAACTATGTTTTCTATTCTTTTTGGTAATACTCTTGCCAACAAACCAATGACTGGAGAAGACTCTAGTTTATATGAGGCCATGTAGCTAATTGGTATTCAGCTATCCAATTTCAAAATTTTGTGTCCCAGTGTGGGACTGAAACACACTCTTGGGAATATTAGGCAGGTAGTGAGCAATGCTATTATTCTAGGCATTTAGAAAGTATGTACATTTCTTTAAATGATTTGGAACGGTGACTGTTATTTAAGACCCTGGGTCAAATATAGTGACTGCCATTGAACTTACTAAAATGATTATCTTCTGTATTGAACCTGTGGGTGACAAAATCACAATGGCTGTGTCAAATGACACTTCAAAGCATCATGAGTTTAAAGATGGGATGTGGCTGTGGGGGAAGCAGGAGTTGCTGTTACTCTTGGTCTCAGGGCCTTTGAGCTTATTTGGCACTGTGTTTGAAATGAGGAAGCATGCCTGTAACCAGGTAACCCCAGCTTGGGGAGTTGAGCTCACCTACACACTGGCAAACATCTAAGACTGTTGACAAGCTCCTTTAAACACATATTCCCTAAAGACATTAAATTAGTGCCCTTTAATGAAGCTCTCAAATTGGATTTTCAAAATAAGGCAAATTGCTAGAATAACCCAGCTACCTTTATAAGCACCTTTTCAATTGAAGCGAGAAGTAGAATTTCCGTGCGGTTGAACTTCCATCATTCCTCAACAATTAGGCTGCGAGGAACTCCACTTTAGGGCATACCCCCACCCATAAATGCCCACATGTTCCCTAGAGAGATTTCTCATTTGCCCTGTTCCAAACAAAATTGGCTAGGGTCTATTAAATATCAGTCTTGGGTTTCGAGCTTTAGAAATATACATGAGGCAGAAAGCCAGGGAGAAAGACAAGGAGAAAAACAAAAACCCTCAAGATTAACATTTCAACCAGAAAAGTTGAGAGCCCCATTTTTATTTTGTGCTAAGCCAAAATAACTCCAAAAACACATTTCAGAACATCAACAAAGAATGTTACATCACGTATGCATCTGAGCTTGAAGAAATGTCACGATCAAAAACAAAGAGGACTTGGGAGACTAGAAACCAAATGTTCTGATGGCACGAATCCCTTGGTGGCAGCTCTGTCTCCTCTGCAGTCGGCTGTGTGCAGAGTAAGAAAATTATCCTCCTGAACCCTTTGAGTCCTCATAGGCAGACCACAAATGAGCACTGGCCTGCCTGCCCACAAAATGATGCTCTGCTGCTGACCCAGCCCAAGATGTTTCTTAAAAACGAGTGTTTGGGATTTGGTGGAGCTGCATTAGAATCAGAGGCGGGATGATGAAAAGGCATCCTGGAATCTGCTGAAGAGAGCTTTGGAAAACCTGTCAAGGAGAGATCCAGGCAACAATAGACAAAGAAGGCTGCTGACTAAGTTACATGCTTTTTTTTTTCCAGTGTCCTTTGGCCAGATACACCAACACTCAAAAGCATCCTTACATTTTGTTTTTTTCATTTTCCCATGGGCCTGCAGAGCACTGTGTTTGTTTCTCCTCACCCTGACAAACTCCAAGTTCTGGTGGGGCTCAGGCAGGGGGACAGATGCAGAAAGTCTTCTCTCTCTGCAGAGCAGGTATGGGGTGGGGTGTCAGGGGTGGATACTGCTGTCATGAGTTCTAGGACCTCTGCTGCAAGAAGAACAGTTTGCCATGGTGCCCACAAAAGGTGTTATTAATTTGTGTGTGTGTATATGTATAGATATATGTGGATATGTGTGGATGTGTATACATTTCCATGTATATGGGGGCACATGTGTGTTGCACATTCATGTGTGAGGAGGTCAGAGGTTGAAATTGGTGTTTAATTGTATTGCTCTCCTTCTATTTACTGAGACAAGATCTCTTGCTGAGCTCACCAACTCAGCTCATCTAGCTAGTCAGCTTGTCCAAAAAATCCAAGCCTCCAATTCTGACAGGATTTGAGGTTGGGTTCTGGGGATCCAAACTCCAGTCCTCAAGCTTGCACGAGTGTTTTTATCTGCAGAGCCATTTCCCTAGCTACAGGTGTTTTGATTATTTTTTAAACTTAGACTAAATTTGAAAGCAGAGAGACAGCAGCGTTAAGAACACACACAAGAGAGTCTGTGTCTCTCTCAGAACCTTTTCTGCAGTCACAGTTCCCCAGTATAGACACTGGTTCCTTTCCCACAAGAGAGAGTCATCAAGTTATTCAGAACTGGGATTCATGTAATTTAGCTTCTTGACCATGAGATTCTATTAAGACTACCAGCTAGTTACTAGAAAAATAGCTTTAATCAATATCTAATGAAATGCACGACTGATGAATTTTAAAACAATTCTCCACATCTGAAAATGAAGTAATTGTGTGTGTGTATGTGTGTGTGTGTGTGTGTGTGTGTACAATTGATATTTCAAAATAATACTAGGTCTTATTGGAAGCCTAACTATAGTCCAGTCTCCAGTGTCTCTAGGAGAGCAACATGCAGTTACTCAGCTTTGCATAAATGTACAATTTGTTCCCCACAGCTACTCATTAAAGAAAGTTTATTCTATCTTTTCAAAATAGAATGTACATTTACGAAA